TGACCTTTCAAACACTTGAACACCTTCAGAGGTGGCAACACGAGTGCTGGGATGAGATCAAATGAGCTCTCCTTGTGTAAAAATAGCACAGCTGACAGCGTTGTGTCAGACGGCGCAGAGGAGGGAAAGAGGGAAGCTGAGGCAAAACAAGGAGAACGATTAGTCAAGGTGACAGTGAAAGCAGCAACATATGGACCAAGACCTCCTTTACAATGAGCCGCTTATTGTTTACAGTCCGATTAGCAACTTGAGCTAATAAAAGCTAACTCATCGCCAGATGATAGCCGATGGGTTCCCGGATTACATCTCCACACCGGCTGTTAGCCAAAACAAGCAATCTGAACATGTCAACTTCGCTTTGGGAAATTGGGATGGGCACTCCTTTTACTGTTTTCACTTCATTTACGATGTTTAATGGACCAAACAGTTGAGTGATTATTTGCTAGTTGCAGCCATAAGACAGACAAAAAGTTAATAATAATAATAATAAGCATGTTTTACTCAAGGGACATGGTCTACCATCATCCCCTGTAACTGTCTGCAAACCCTGACTCTTACTGTCAGTGGAGCAGTTTACACTGAGCAGTTATGTAAAAGTGGCAATGCACCAAATACACCACACTGGTATATTTGGATACTGTGGATCAGACCTGATACTGAACTATGTTAAATGCATTGGGCATCGGCCATGACACATTAGATCCAGTTAATGTGTTAGTCGATATTAAATGTAGCGTTTCCTCTAATGACGGCATGCAGGTTTGTCAGAGGTCACAAAGGAGACATCATTTAGAACTGTTTCTAAATGCTCAGTAAATTGACCTTGATGTGTAAAGTGAGTGGAGCTTTAAGTCAGTAGGCTCTGTGTCCTCATGGAAAGGTGAAGAAGTCCGAGAGGTGACGTTAACACACTGAAACAGGAACACACTCCCCCTGCAAGGTTTGAATAGACATGAGATCTGATTTAGACCTTTAGGACCACACGCCTGCTGTGTGTGTACGTGTCCTCCCTATATTGTTCTTTGGAGTCCCATTATTTCCTCCTCCAGCCTCGGTCCCCTCTCTGCTGCAGATACACTCCTCCGTCAGCAGCGCTCCGACCCGATGAAGGGCATTTTAGACAACGGATCAGATCAGACAATGGGGGAAAGAGAGCCCCCTCCCCCCATAGTTACCAGCTACTGCCTAAATTATGGGATCGGCTGCATTTTCCTTTTCACATGCTGATCCGTGATGAAATATTTACCACTGTAGGAAAATGGTTATGCGCCATTGAAAAGACAACATTCATGAATAAGTGAAGAAAAACGAAGAGCTCTAATTTGAAGAGGTGTTTGGATTGGAGTTTGGTGCTGTGAATACAGTTTGATGTGGTTCCAAATAGATTTATTACACAGCGATCTCGAGGGCATTGAAATGCTGACTTTGTTTTCAGCCGACCTGTCTTGTCCTTGTCAGGCCCCTAAACTCCCCCACCCCCCATCCCATCAACCCCCCTCTCTAGAACTGCCTCTTCCCTCTCTGAATAATATGCAAATGTTTGAAAGTAGGTTACAGACATCCCTTTGCATTTGCTTCTCATCCGTCTGTGCTGTGGGATTTTGGAAAAAGGAAAGAAAGATGCATCCTCCAGCCTCCGCTCCGTCGCTGCTGCTCCTCCTCTGCACACCCCTGGATCACATTTGGACATTTGATTTCAGTCGACCTCACAGCTTCACTAGCCGGTGGTGTATATCAGAGCGAGGCTGAGGTTTGTGGAGGACCCTTAAGGTGAAAGGAGGCACGAGGAGGCTGCTGCTGCCTGAATGCTGCCTGGACAGACGACAACTGGTTGTGTCCCTTATGAAACCAAAAGTCATTTTACCTTTCTTTTGTTACGTACTAACGTAGTCTACTTGAGTAACGGCAGTTACGTAACAAACACACTTATTTGAGCCCAAACCCCAATGTTTTACTAAACCTGAACAAGTAGTAGTTTTGTAGTGTGAGTACCGAACAACTCAGTAACCCTACCATGGAAGTTCATTTTAAAAAGAGACTATGAGTGTCTTTGACGTGTCCAACACTAGAGGGAACCTCGTGTTGTCTGTCGAGGTGCTGCTGTGGCAAGTTGATACGTGCAGAGTCCTGCTGGTTCACTTTGTAATGTGAACACTGTATTTCTACTGTGATTGTACCAATGGATACAGAACCATTGGTTGCAAAGAACATTCCAGTATGTCAGAAACATTGTGGGTACCCCCCCCGTTTATGTCGTCACAGTACCTTCTGCTGGTCTGCTCCAGTATAGAATAGCTTCAGTGAGACGAATGGCTGGTTCCTTCATTTCTAAGCACTTTGAAATGAAGGACACTGCTCTCCTCACAAACACCTGAACTGCAGGAATGTTGGGTTTCTACATACCGACCGTCAACCACATATGGATAAAAAGGAAGATACAGCAGAATGATTACTATGGCGTTACATTAAGGATTAGCATATTTATCTCAGATTACTTCGTATGTAAGAAGGGCTTATTCACATTTATGGACAGAGATACATACATCATAAAAATAAAACCATGCATATTTATGTATCCAGTCTTCTGTAATATCTATTCTTTAAACTCAGTCGTGGATCTGGAGTGAAGAGAGGTAGATGAAGAAAGCTTCACTAAGCTTCACTTCCATACAAGAAAAGGTAACAAAGGAATCATTTAAAAACACACAGACAGGATGAGACTCAATCTCTTCTCAAGGCCAGTTATGGCTCTAATATTATTCTAATACACTATAACACATAGATATGATTAAAGGTATATTTCTCATGATATGTTCTAATATGATGTAGTTTAATGTAGTTTTAGGTGACAAACACAGTTGTTTGGTGGAGATGTTTTCACAGCAGTTTAAAATAGATATTATAGATATAGCAGTAAGCACAATGAATGAAGTGGGAAACAGTGAGTGGTGTGACTGTGCTGGTGTTGGAGGGTAATGGATAGTAAAAGCCTGTGTTTACTCGACCTCGGCTCCTGCTGCTGTTCTTTACCTCCCTGTCCAAACAGATACAGATGTTCACGCTTCATGTTGTCTTTGGCTCACATCTGGCTCGTCTTTATCACGTCCGTGTTCTAAGTCACTTTAAAGCCCCGTGGTAGTGACAGGGATGGTGTGTTGTTTCAGGTTGAGTGCAGGAAGTCCATCCAGTGTGGGTACCGTTGATGGAGGGTGCTACATGTGTTAGCTTGTGTTAGCATTTCACTGTGACCCGGTGTGTCTTCTAATGGAGGCCTGGTACTAACACCCCAGTGAAAGCAGTTTTAGTTTTGTTATTCCAGAGAGATTATATAATATTAAGGGAAACAAAGTAAATGAAATTCATTCAAAAGCGTTTTCAAAGGGAATTTAATAATTTACAGAACTTTGAGGGAAGATAGGGAAAACAAACAGAATGCAGTTTAATTATTAAATGAAAAAATAAAAATGACAAAGGAGTGTATTGGATCCCATTAATGGGGTTTATTAAAGATTATTCCAATTTTTGTCACAGCTTATTAATCATGACCCTATTGAATAACTTCAACTAAAGAGAGGTTTTTAATTATGCACTTGGAAATATACAATTATTATTATTGTATATGATCTTAAAGGTCTTTGAATAAATGTAAAGGCGCTAACTTCAGATCATTTTTGTCGTCACATCATCTTTTATATTCTAATGAGTGGGTTTTTGTTTGAACAATCCCAATGAAAATGAATGCAGTGTACTGTATGTGATATCTGATGTGATGTTTCACTCATTCATACATTCTTCTTCATCCTTTAAAATAATATTCAATTTGTTAGAGAAGAACGTGATACATGACCTATTTTAGATTTTAAAATTTAAATATTATTTGTTGAACTATGAAGCCTTTTGTAAAAAATAAAAAATTAATTATTATAAAGCATTTTATAATGACTCATAAATGTAATTCTCACAATTCTCATAAATCTGCTGGTAATAAATGCTGGTCACTCACTGACTGTAGTGTAATTCCCACAGTGATACATTATAATCCTCACTATATATAATCACTGTTATGTTAAATTTGAATGTGATTATTCTCAGTGGTGTCACGCTTTAATGTGTTATGACTATTGTTATAAAGCCTTTATATAGATAGATATAATTATACAATGCTATAAAGGGAGGATAACTCATTATCAGTATGTTTATAGTTCATTATAGACATAGAGTCATAGACAGTGTTACCTAAACATCATATTTTCACTTCTTTGTGACTCCAGATCTTGGCTCTTCGTATCTGTGGTCTTGTATTTGTGTTACTGAAGTTTGAACAAAGGGACACATCTTTGTCTCCTGGCTCATCTCTCTCTGACCACTCCTTTAAAGAAACACCGGTCCGTGTTTTAATCCTAGCTGGAGAGGTTCCCAGTGCCTCAATACACCTGGCATCACACCTGACCTCTGACCTTCTCCTCACAGAGAGTCCTGATGCCATGTTGGGTCCCCCTGGCTCCCGGAATACCCTCTGTGTCCTCTCTAGTATCTTCATTTCTTCACTTCACATCTGAGATACTACTTAAAAGAACGATTTTCCTTGACTTGATAAAACTGAATGAACTAATTTAATGAAAGGATTCCGAGCGGCGTCACTGTGAGACTGACACCAGAAGCTCCTGTGATTTCTGTGCAATTGTAATCTGTGAATATTCTCTCTGCCTGTCAGCACAGGAGCCACACAGTCAGATCACGTGACTGCGTCGTCTCCTCTTCTATGTGGAGTTATTGGAATCTGCTTCTTGCTAACGCCGAGCTCCTTCAGCTGAGATGCATAGAGGAGTGGGAGGAGAGGGAGCAGTGTGTTACATGTAGCTCAGTATCTCACAGTGTGGAGATGTAGAGGACAGCTCCCCCTACAGCCGCTCTCTGTAACCTCAGCTTTTACCGCTTGGCCTTCGGACGACAGACACGGCTGCATTCGTCACAATAACAACATGTTTTCTTCATTTCAGAGCACAATATTGCTGAAGTCCTTCCAGAAGAAGAAGACATAAACCAGGTTGGTTGAGTCTGCGTGCATACTTCCCTTTCACTGCATGTCTATGTTTGAATGGAATATTAAAGAGGCACTCAAGCAAAAGAAAGTTGGGAGGCCTCACAATAATTAAAGGTATTCTGACTTTTAGTCAAACTCTTAAAACACAGGATCCTGCATTTCCCATAATGCATCTTATGCTTAGATCCCCTGCCTATTAAATGTCCACATCTTTCAAACTTCGTGTCATCAAGTTTAGGACACCGGGGTTTCCGTTATAATTGTGCCACCGAGCCCAAACTGAGAAACTGCTGATGACATCATTGTGACATCATTTCCTCAGACAGAGAAGACATTATACAAGTGTTTTCACGAGCGAAATCCTCGTGGTTCCTCGTTCTAAATGTGTAAAATGATAAAAGTAAAATGATAAAATCATGATCCAGGACAGGAGACGTATAAAGAGAAAGCATTTGACCAATCAGATGCACCCAGGAAGTGTTTGTGTGGTTGAAGGAGGAAGTAGCCTGCGTGCTGTCTTTGTTGGTCAGTAGTGCAGTAGTCACGTATCGATTCACCACTACTATCCCTCCAATGCTTGGAATACAGCTGGGGCAATGCTGCATTGGGTTTTGATTTCCTGTTTCCTGTCAATGGTGGGAAGCAGCGTGATGTCTCTGGTCTGATCACATTAATGATGTGGCTGTACAGCACAATACCAGGACTGTGGAACACCTAAACTGAATGCAGCCATTATTAATGTCACTAGCTCCACCTGTGCCTGTGTTCCAAACGTCTGCTGAGGGACGGCTGTGTTTCCTCAAGACCATCGTTACAGTTTAATATTCATCTCACTTGCAATCATCGTCGTCGCCATAAACCTGGTAATGAAGAAACAGTGCTGCTGGTATCTCATGTGTGGTGTTGAAGTGTGACTGCAGCCCACAAGGGGGCAATGCTGACCTTCACACTGTCATAGTAACACTGTTTATGGAACATCATGCCATCATCCTTTATTTCATAATAATTATTTCACTATTGTCGTCCACAAATGTTCCGTTCACAGTGTTTTCTGAATTCTGAACCACTCACACAGGAATGTAACACTGTTCAACACAGTTGAAGTAAGTTTCATCATACAATAGAACATGTAACAAGTTCATATTAATCTCATTATTATTTTCTGCATGTATAAACAGCACTAGAGGACATATTGTCTCACCACCACTAGGACTCAATTGGTCCTCCATTGGATGCTGCTTCATCAGTGCATGTTTTATTAACCTTGATCCTACCTGTGGGTAGTGCGTCATCTCCCACAGGTGCTTTATTCTATAGTTCCAATCGTTCATGACTTTGTCCATAAATGTGTCAAAAGCAGCAGCATACATCCTGTGTAGTTTTAATAGATAGGGTCCTAATGTAAAGCATCACACACTATCAGTAGGGGAGGGACACTCGGTCACTGTGAAGGAGACACACACACATTTCCCCATGTGATCTGTCGCTTTTCATTTTGACACAATATGCGAATCAATTTGGGGAGAAATAAGTGAACATTGTGCCCTGATGGTAGTTCTTGGGATCAGTATGTTGAATATGTCGGTAGGATGAGGGTTCAAGTGTCCTGCGACCTGTTGAAGTAAGCAGCGTAGTCCTCTGTGTTAGAGCTGCATTCATTGATTTATGTCCACTTGGGGGCAGCAAAGGAAGTTACAGACACCTTGAAAAATGTGACTCTTAGAATAAAGTTCTTTACAAAGATGAGGGAATTGAACTGAATTGTCTTTGCCCTGCAGCTTTAAATTCAATTCATTCAGGTGAGAAGTGATGTCAATCAAAAAAGCTAAGATATCCATATTCTGCTCATCTTCTAAACGGAGAAAGTTGTGTTCAGGGACTTTATCTGTGGTTATTGAAACCACAGGTATATATTTTGCTTTGCAGTGACGCTTCACATTGCCCACCAATCGCCACGGTCTCTGAACATATGAGACATACTGGTTTTAAACTGGCCGTCGGAAGAATGAACATGTAAGAGTCTGTTTGCTCTTGGTCTCTCCTGTGTGTGTGTAGCTCACTCAAGCTGCAAAGCTTATTCAGTTCAATTCAATCTTGTATAATAAACCGGACCGCGGTCCACCTTTTAGTGACCATGACGTGGAACAAAGAGCGACAGTCCTCTTAGGGAGGAGGTCGGGGTGGATGGGTCAAACAAACAGGACTTTCACCCAGGAGACCGCCGTTTGTGTCCCCTATGAAACCAAAAGTCTACGTTATACTTATTTTATTATACTTTTGTCACCTAACTTACGTACTTATTTCAACCAAAACCAAGATCTTATCCTCAACCTAACCAAATAGTTGTGTTGCCTAAACTTAAAGTTGTTTTGTTTCAAACCACAATGTTTGATTTTGACTTTCCCACCGTGATGGGTGCAGTCTGGCCCATCTAAAGCATTATAATGCTAGTGATAACCTCAGATATTCAATGTGATAATAACACTCAACATGTGGTAGGGGTTGTGTTGGTTGCTTTAGGTCCAGGCTCTGAGTTGTAGATCCACATTCTCTGTAATCCAGCGCCCCACTGGACCATCTCTATAGAAATGTGACCTTACTCGTGTCTGCACGGCCAACACAAGTTGAACTCTTTAGCTTTATTATTCAGCCTTAGCCTTCCGTCTCGGCACACTATGTCATGGGGCTCATTGACATGAATGTGGGAGCTGTGTTGATTGTAAAGGACTTACAGGTGTTTGATATGAGAGCAAAGCCGTGGCATTCTTGGTATTAGCTGCCAAACACCTGTGAAAGTGTTGTGTGAAAAAGTTGTTGGTGTTTTTGATCCTGCAGTGTTTCCTGTAATGGATGCGCTCTTCTCCTCCAGCTACTCTAAACACTTGTCTCATGTAGTGTCAGATGCATATTCAAAAGGCACTTTTTGGTATTTTTCAAGAGTGCCTATGTGCCAAGTTCATCACAGCCCAGGGTATACATTTGAGAGGGGGAAAGGGGGGGGGGGGGGAAAGAGAGGAGAGGTAAGCCAGAGAGAGACAGAGGGGGAGGAGGAGGAGACAAGGAGTCATCCCAGCCCATTTATCTGACAGCCATTTACCACAGCGAGCCAATGTGCCAACAGCTCTCTGGCTGCTTCATGGTAGACTGGCTGCCCCTCCCCCTGCCTCCCCCCGCCTCCCCCTGCCTCCCCTCCTCTGTCCAAAGTTGTACAGGCACACTCTGTGTCTGTACTTAGCATTAGGCTGAGAGTGAGGAGCACACCAGAGCCTGCAGGCTGGCTGAGAGGACCCAAGCCATGGCTCTGCTGCTGGACAGCTCTGGCACCACGGCAGCCTACTGCTGCCTGATCCGCCGCAGGTGCAAGAGGAGGAGGAAGAAACGCTCCGAGCGCAAAGGTATTCCTCCGTGCTGTACCTGCTGCTCTGCTCTGTTTGAGAGGAGTGTGGTAGTGAGTGTGGAGCAGCTGCTGTTTGGAGGGTCGTGTTAGTTCTGTGTTGTTTGGTCGTCATCAGGGAAGGAGCTGCTTGTTGTCCTGGACTTTCTGTTGAGATGTCCTGATGCTCTTCATGAATGTGCTGCTTAGAACAGACATTTCACTTTTATTGATCTCATCTCTCATCTCACTGGTTACTGGCTATCTTTCTTTTGTTGATTTTTATTTCAGCGCTATAGGAATCAACTTTATCATGGAAATAGCACAAGATAATACATGGTGAGTGTAAATGATGCTTGTGGTGACTGACAGGTTTTAATCCTAACTTAATGTACTTCAGGTCTGAAGTGTAAACGTTGAACAGAAAGGGACATCTCATGAAGAGGTTCAAGTGCATTGATTTTAGAGCCAGATGGATACTGGATTTTTGAGACAATATCAATATTTTAAAGTAAAAAGGAAGATAACATGAACAGATAGGGTAATCATTATTAAAGAACTTAAGTTTCTCTGCCCAGTTTCTTCGGGCTGAGAAGTCGATTCACAGTAAACGTGGACTTCTTACAATCTGCACTGAATTTAAAGTTGTGTGAAAAGAACAAAAGTCACGTAATCTGCATTTCTGTGCAGAAGCAGTTTATATGTCACAGTGATATTCAGTAATAAATAGTCAGCAACACCACCAAGTTCCTACTGAAAGCATGTTTCTGCAAAGTGATCAGTGTTGACATTCTGTTGTGTCAGCCCCCTTAGACTAAACTAAAAATGATCAGTTATGAAAACGTCCTGGAATGAAGGCACCTTAAAAGGTCTGGTGCTGGAAACTGCAGTGCACCCTGGGAATTTGTTTTGGCCTGGGCCTGACATACTTTAACCAAGTGCTAGAGACGGCTCAGTCAGGTGGAGCAGATGTGCGAGTTCAAAATGTCTCATAAGTAGTTACGTAACTCTTAAAACACAATGAACACATGTTATATCTGTGCCTCGATAATAATAATGTATCATTTGAACATCCTGCTGAATGAACGTCTGGAGAATATTCTGCTCTCCATCTGCAGACACCTGAAGCTGGCAGGTATCTAGAGGGATGATGTCACTGTCAACTTCTAGAGATGGTTGAAGTATCTGGAGAGTAATTATCTTCCAGTTTTTATGATTAAAAAGCCACTCAAACATCTTTAAACAATATATTTAAAGGGAAACTTAAAGAAAGAGGTTTTTATTTCTTTGTAGGATTATTTCCATAAAGTTGTCAAACACTTCTAATAACAATCTGAACCTGTCAGCAGCAACAACGAGCACCTTTCGTGAAGATTATCGACGTGAATCTTCTTTAGCTTCTGACTCGCTGCGTCATGACGGGCTCATTACTGCCCTCAGAAATATACAGATATTATACTGTAAAGTCACTGCTGGATAGTAACTAAGTACATTTACTGTACTTTGCTCAATTTTACGAATTTGTACTTGATTTGAGTATTTTGTTTAAATATCATGCTTCTACTTTTCTTTTTCACTTTCTTCATTTATTTGAGAGCTTTAATGACTAATTACTTTAAAAAAAATAATG